AGATGAATTAATTAGTAAATAAATAAAAATTCTTGTCTACTGTGACCGGGTTTAGAGCATTTATTATGAACTCTAATGTATAGCTTTTAATTAATTTTATTTCACTTCATTTTCAACATATTTTTTTACAATTTTTACGATTTTTTTATTTCAAAAAATCCACGATTTTGATTAGTTATCACCCCTTCGGAGATTTTTGTAATTTGTGTAACTAGAATGGTCGCTCCTGGACATTTAAGATCCGAAGGACTTATCACGGATCAGTCTGACAGTGGCTATTTTCGGAGCAAATCTTTGTTTTTATCAGATCAACCAATCAAACCCCTTAATTTGCGGACACACACACAACCAGGTCACTATGACTCTCCCGTAATGTCCTTCGGACAACTAGACTTGGTTGGCTAGTATTACTTAATGCCAGCCCAGCACCGATGCATTCCAATCCTGAATTTTGAATTATTCCAAGACGGACCCCAAAGTTGGATGTATAACTGCTGCAGTATCTAGTACAGCCTTGAAAAGTTATTTGGTTGATAAATGCTATATGATACGGCAGATTAACGAGCGGGTCAACCATCAGTTTGCACCTTCATAGCTGTGCTGGTTGTTATAAAAAATGGTAGAATTAATTCTCTTCTAGATCATATTCAGGCTAAGAGATTAATTAAAAATCGACTAGTTGTTTATAAATAACGAATATTATATATAGTAAGAAACGGATTTTGAGTATGTTTGATAATTAATAAATATAATATACCAATATACTATCCTTTTGGTGATAGTTTTTCAGGCAACTTTGGCTACAAAAATATCTAATCGCTAATGGAACATGTCTAAAGATCTAATCAGGTCATGGACGTGTTATTTAGAATTTAAACTTAGTTCAATTATCAGTTTTAATCCGACAAGCATAAATGACACCCAGTAACACTCGTGATTTGACTTTTACTGGGATTATTTCGCCAGTTAAAAGAAATATAAGGGCAGAAAATAATTAAAAGTGGTATTGGCTAAAAGCTCTCAGCAAATAGTCTGTCTGGTAATAAGATTATTGGAGCCATATTATTATAATTTATGGATTTGGTACGAAATCCCGAAGAACTAATCTCAATAAACTCGATGCTTAAGTACTTAAAATCCTGAAAGAACAATATTTCGATAACTCATTAATCCGAAAGTTAAATCCTGAAAAGAAAAATCCTGAATAATTATCACGAATGTAATAATCCAAAATATAATAATTTCGAGCATAATATAAATTTTTGTATTTATGATAGTTCATGAAATGTTATTATTAGAGCTTATTACATTCAAGTTGATGTATTTACAAGATTGTAGCTCTTCGGGAATATAACTATTTAGGATATATTTTTTTCAGGATTTAGTTTTCTTACTAATGAATTGTCAGAATAATGTTCTTTCGGGATTTAAGTGTTGGGGATTTTAAATGACTACGAAACAATTTAATCAAAAATCTGCCTGCTCATCTCCAGGATAATCAAGTTAATCTCAATCTTGGGAATTCAACTATAAGGATATACTAATTTTCCTACCAGTTCCTATTGGACGAATGCAAATATGGTTTCTTATTGATGAAACAGATTATATCACTGAGCAGAATGGTCAAATTTTCAAATGATTATTTTCTTTGAATGATTAAACAATTTTATTAAATATTGATTGTATAAGTAGTTTTAATTAATATCAATTATTTTTTGTTTGAAGAAAAGTAAAATTCTCATCAAGAAAATAGTTGAAATAAAGTTGGTATTATTAAAAATTACAAGAAAGTTGTAATAAATAAATTTCTTTTAAAAATAAAACACTGAACAAAACTTTA